TCTGGAGTGGAGTTTCCACTACATGGAGTTGGGGGATGGGAACACTTTGTGGCTCAAATGCCATATACTCATTGTTCTTACGGAGATGTACTGATTTTTTTTTTTTTTTTTTTGAATTTTAAAGAAAAAGTTTTTTCAAGATCTGAGAAACAATTCATACAGATTGATTTTTCCAGGAAACTGTAGCTACACGATGCATTGCATGTATCATGCTAAAACATGTGTCAGACACAAATACAAAAACCATGACATAAGCCACCATTCTTCAACAGTTTGAGGAAAGATAAAATGCCTAAGGAACAACACGGATGACTTGCACAGGTTAGGCTATTTACTTTAAGCACCATTTTAAAAAAAAGGAGCACAAATGATGAGTGTGTTCAGTTATATACACTGAGTGGAAACTTTGGCATGAGGAATCAAAGCATTTTGGTATAGAGCATTAACACGGATTTAAAAAGTGCGTAGAGTCAAAGGAATGGAACCTCTAGCATTCACAAGCGACTTTGTCAGCTAAGCAGTAAGACACTCTACAGCAGGTCTCTCTGATCGCTGGCACTAAACACAGTTGCAGCTACTTTAGGAAATCATGAAGCTAATTCAGTAATAAAGCAAGGCTCTTCTCATCCGGAGGCGTATAGGCCAGCATCTCTCCAATGTGTGCAAACAGTCTCAGTAGATGTGGTGCTCCGTACACCTGGGCACGGGGTCCCCAGGGTGATCTGTGAGGATTTCGGCATACCGCAGGCTCTCACGTCTGTAGAGCAGCCTAGGGCCCAACGTCACACTGTAGTATTCTTTTATCCCTGCCACAACTTCCTTAACAGCATATTCCCCATTATCTGTGTTTCCTCTAGATTTCTTGTAATTGGCATAATTGTCTAGAATGGAATTCACATTCTTGACGGGAAGATAAAAGAGCTGTTTCCCCAGGGTAATTAAATCCCAGTCATCAGCAAGCCATGGTTTTAGCTCTTCAGGAATCTTCTTTAACTTCAACTCTGTTCGTGAATGTTTTCTCACTTTCAGTGGTAGCGTCCACCCAGGCCCTTTGCTTCCGAGGAGACTGAGGCATCTTGATGCTACCGCCCCATCTCCATCTCCAGGTGTTTTCTGTTTGTCCTTTTTTGTTCTCACATCAGCATTTCCTGTGGCAGACCAGATGTCTTCTTTCCTGCGGTGGCCTTTTCACATCCCCTCTGCGTATTGCTCTTGATCGGCTTTTTGAAGTTCTCGCTGTTTCTGCAGATTAGTGTCCATGCATTTGAGTACTCTGTTCTCTGAAACCCATTCATACCAGTTTTTATCCCCGCCACCGTAATGTCCAAAGTATGTCATTTGTCTGTCCTTTATGGCACTCTTGACCCACTTTGCTTCATAAGGAAGAGGTCCATGAAATCACAGCACTTGTGCACCTGCCTGGAATTCAGGCTTCGGGTGCTGCTTTGGCTCCGTTTATAAGTGATTCACTGCCGCCTTCTCCCGCCACCCCTAACCCTCTACCCCTCCTTAATGATCTTCTTGAGTAAGTGTTTCTCCATTGGCTGTATGCCCTTAGAACAATTTTTGGAGACTTTAAATAGTTGGTTTTAAGCATTTTCCATCAGTTAAATGGTTGTTTCACCTCAGAGAGGGTCCACCGAGCTCCTCACACCACCATTCTGGAAATGACACCGGTTTAATTTTCTGATGGATTGGGATAGAAAGAGCATTGGCTCATAGAAGATCCTGTCACTCTGCTCCCCCTTCTCCCCAAAGGGAGCAGAGTCACCACCACCACCCCGCTTACAGTGGAGACCACCACCAGCAAGACTCAAGTCTCCCCCGCCCCTCTGCAGAGCAGCAGAAATAGAAGGGCAGAGGAAAGCCCCCGACCCTCATCACACAGCAGGGGACTTGGCACTGGTGTGAGTCCAGAGGGCACCTGGGAGTGGATTACTTCTGTGAAGCAGGCAGCCAATCCCAGGAAAAGGGAGCAGTGGCAGGGAGAAGGGGTGAAAGGGAAGTGGGCAGCCGGGCTGGGGGCGTCACCGATTTCTCCACACATGCAGACAAAGCGAGGGCAGGGGTGGCTGGATTAGAGGCCCAAGCCAGGGCCCTGCCAGATCTGGATGGTCCCCAAGTGACGCTCATTCATATTTTACTCCCTCTTCTCTCTCCCCGCAAAACACACCACTTACCCCCAGTGTGGCCCTTTGAGATGGAAGGATTTATTTAATTCAGAGACACAGTATAGAAACAGAGTACTAGCCAAGCCCAGCGGGTCCATTGGACGCAGAACCAGGATGTCTGTCCCATTCTCTCTGCCTTCCCTGCTCTTAAACTCGTCTGAGGGCTGAAGGTTCTTTGCCAGGTGTCCCCTCATTGCCTCAGGGATGCCATTGGCTCAGGGGACTGTGTTGTAGACGTTGTAGTTGTCCTTCTGGGTGATGTGCAGCTTCCAGGGGAAGAGGCGCTTCTGGGAAGGGAGGCCTTGGGCCTGCCTCACCATGAGCCTCACGTCCTCGTCTGACAGCAGCCGGACCAGGTCCCCCTCGGGGTCCCGGTAATTTAGAACGATGTCTTCCCTCTGGAACTCCCGCCTGGGTGGGAAAGGTCAGGGTTAATCAAAGGTCAGAGGAGAGAACCCAGAGGCTATGGGCTTAAGCAGAGGGGTGGGCAGAGGGAGGGCAGAGAGTTTATGGCTTGGGTCTAAGCATCAGAAAAGGTCAGAGCTTGCTACAGGCCTTCATCAGCCAAGTAGCCCAAGCTCTCATTGTACAGATGGGGAAACTGAGACCTAAAGGGGAGAAGGGACGTTCACAATAAATTAGTGGCACAGCCTGAAATGTCTGTGTATAAATGTGCTAAATCCTTAAGAACTCTTTGTGAGGCAGAGCAGTGGGTTTGGCTGGGCACAGAATAAAGCCCAGAGAGATGCCTGTTTGAAGCTACTTAGGAGAGAACTCCGTACGGACTGGGGCTGTCTACCTGGCTGGGGAACATCAAACTTGATCTGACCTTTCTATACATAATTTGCCAAATGGGAAGCTAATTGACTTGCGAACACTTTGATCCCAAAATTCCACTTCTCAAAAATCATCCCAAGGAAAATCATCACAAGCCCTGTAGGGCTGAGCTGTGAATAAAACAGGAAGGCAAAATAGGTGCAAAACACCTAGACTTTATACTAACACTTAATATTTCTCCCTTCGTTCTCTCCAGGGGATGAGACAAGTCACCAAATATGTGAACAAAGACGGTCATCACATTTTTTATCACATCATGCATTGTTTACAGTAGTAAAAATGTGGAAGAAAACCTAAGTAGCCAACAAAAGAGTGTGGCTCCGTTACTTATGGTGCAGCCACAGAGTGGTGCTGTGCAGCCCTAGTAATATTTGCATGCGTGTGTGTGTGTGTGTGCGTGTGTGTGTGCGTGTGTGTGTGTGTGTGTACTGAAGAGAGCTGAATGTACATCAGCTAATGAGAGGAGTATGAATGCGAGTGTATTACAAAAAGTTCCTGGAAAAATAAATTAGAAGATCATAAAAATCTTTTCATGAATATTTGAAGTACCTTCGTATAAGGTGATTTCACTTCTTTGAATGAATGAGTGAGTCAGTGAATGAACGAGATGAGATGAAAGCAGCTTTCCAGATAAATTCAGATCTTGACCTATTCTGAAACTGAAATACGTCTTCTTGGGGATGCACAGCTTGGTGACCTTCCTCACTTTTCCTCCTCTGCATACTGGGACCCAGACCTTATCTGCCTTTCCCTTTCTGACATGATTACTGACATTTTTTTTTTATGAGTAGGTATTTATGAGTATAGTCAAAAATGTAACAATGCTATTACTGTTCTGTAAAATAACTACCCAGCAAAGACCCGGATCTTGGGAGGTGGTGAGTTCCTTGCTGGTGGAGAGTCCAAGTCCAAGGCTTTTAGCTACAGAGACTTTAGCTCTAGCTGCAAATCTCTACTCCCAAATGATGTGACCTCAGCTTACTCCCTTCACCTGTCTGCAGCTCCCGGCTCACCTCTATACAGGCTGATGATACCTGACCGTCAGGCTGTGAATAAAACGAAAATGCAAAACGGGCGCAAAACACCCAGCACCTTAATACCCGTACTTCATAGTTCTCCCTCTGTTCTCTTCTCCAGGGCATCTGACTTCTCCTCCAGTCCCCAGCCCTCTCACCTCATGAGCTCCAGCAGGTCTTTGAATAGTGGAGTGCTGCTGAGGTCCTCCTCCACTGCTATGTCCCTAAGGGGGCAACAGGCAGGGGTGAGGTGGCATCAGGCCAGAGGGGGATGTGGGGTGGTGAGAGGTGGGAATGAGGCTGGCCAGGCCCTGCTGTACATTGACTTCTTGTTACAGTGTTGTGGCTTATCTGGAAGGCAGTGGGAGCCACTGCAGGCTTTGGAGTGGGGGCAGGGACAACATGGGAGTATGTGGTGTGGGGGATGGGCCGCTCCTCCCAGCAGGCCACACACTTGATGGTGCTGATTGTGTCTTCGTAGTAGTAGCAGCGCAGCCAGTTGGTGAGGTCGTCTTCCTCGGGGAAGTCCTTGAGGATCTTCACAAAGGAGAGTGGGAAGATGCCTGTGGCTCCCCGGACAGTACCCTGAGGAGGAAAAGAGGGGCCACCCAGTTGACATGAGGACAGGCAGCAGGGCCACACCCAGGAGCCCCGGCCCCTTCATAATGATGAGAAAGGCAGACAAGGTCTGGGTCCCCATATGCAGAGGGAAGAGGAAAAGTGAGGAAGGTCACCAAGCTGTCCATCCCAAGAAAACTTATATTTCAGTTTTAGATTAGGTCAAGATCTGGATTTATCTAGAAAGCTGCTTACGTCTCATTCATTCACTCATTCACTCATTCACTTCACTCACTCATTCATTCTTTCAACAAAGACTCCGTGAACACCAGCTATGCGGCAGGCTCTGAGCACTCAAAATAGATAAAAGTCCTTGCCTCCTGGAGCTCCCGTTCCAGTGAAGGATGACAGGGGACGCATGGGGGAGCAGGCGAATTGTACAGTGGGTCAGATGGTGGTGACTGCCGCTCGTTTACTCATCCCACAGATACCACCAAGCCCCTACTCTAGACCATGCGGCCAGAAATCTATTTCTCCAGCCCAGTCCTCTCCCTAAAGCCCAGACCAAGCCCTAGGTGTTGGCAGTGCTTTGTACAAATGCTCTCTAATCGTCACCACAATCCTGTGGAAGACAGATTATTTACATGCCATTTTACAGACACATAAACTGAGGCTCAAAGTGGCCCCAGCTGCTCCCCTGCCCTTCCTCCAACCTGAGGCCAAAGGCTGGTCAGCATACTGACACATGGAACTTTCCAGTAAACAGGAAGGCAATAAACGTTTCCTGTTTCTGGAGAGTGATCCAGAGCTACCCCTCAGGCGGCTATAAGAGCTGTCGCATTCCTGAGACAGAGATCCAGGATTAGGGACAAACAGAAACTGCTAAATCAGCTAGACCAGTCACCTCTTGCTCCTCTCCAGCCCTGGACACCAGAGACCCCACCCAACCCTCAATTGTCCCAGGACCCCTGGGGGCTAGCCCTGCCTCTGGGCCTGTCCCAGAACCTCCTTCAGAACCCTCACCACCCCTGCCCCCCACCTCCCAGCCCACCAGGAACCAGTAAAGAGAATCTTGTTTAATAACAATAGGGCCCCAGGCCAGGCCTCCACACAGTCAGTAGGGGCTCTTCTGTGAGCCACGCTGGGCAAAGCAATGACTGGGACAGACAGGCCTTGGCTTTGAAGTCTCACTGTTACGGGTAAATGTGTTCTCAAAGTTCCATGTATTAGAAACTTAACCCCCACTGTGGCAGTGGTAAGAGAGTGAGAAATCCCATTATGGTAAATGAAAGGTGGGGCTTTAGAGGTGATTAGATTGTGAGGACTGTGCCCTTGTGACTGGATTGCTCCATTCATGGAGTAGTGGGCGTGGTTCTGACGGCCTTACAAGGAGAGTGAGTGAGCAGGTGAGCTCTCTCTTGCTCAAACCATTCACCATGTGACACCTTGCCTGGCTGTAGAGTCACCACCCATCAACAAGAAGACCCTTGTCAGATGTGTTCCCTGGACTCTGGCCTTCCCAGCCTCTGAAACTATAAAGAATAAATTTTATTTCTTTATAAATTACCCAGTTTCAGATATTCTCCTATAAGCCACAGAACTGGACTCATACACTCACTTAAGTGATCCCAGGACCCTCGCACCAGCCAGGCACTGTGTACTCAGGCTCTCTGTGGGCAAGTCCTGCATGTCTACCATCTCCTTTAACCCTTCCAGGAACCCCATGAAGAAGCTGTCAGTATTATTTATCTCCATTTACAGAAAGGGAAACTGCAGGGTTGAACAACTTTCCAAAGGTTCACAAAGCTAGTTAAAAACAGAGCTAGGAAATTACACAGGCAGACACTGGAGCTCATGCCCTCAATTACAAGTTTTTATTGCTGCCTGCAAGGCAAGCAATGTTATCCCATACTGGAGATGAGTGGTTCTCACCCCCAGGAGCAAATGTCTGGAGACTTATATGATTTTTGCACCACAGGGTTTGCTACTGGCATCTAGTGGGGAGGCAAGGGTGTTGCTGAACACCCAACACCGTACAGGAAAACTCCAGCAAAGAATGACCTGGCCCCAAATGTTGGTAGTGCCACTGCTGAGAAACCATGTTATGCACCAAGAAATTAAACCCAGTAGGTTAACTTGTCCAAAGCAACCTGTTTGTTGGGGTCAGAACCAAAGGCAGGTACATGGACTCCAGAATCTTCTCCTCCCACTAATACCTGCCTCCCCAGGGGCTGTGTTCTCACAGGCTAAGCCCACCACACACACACACACACACACACACACCTGGATATCCAGGACTCTGCTCAGATGGCAACTCTTCCCTGAGGCTTTCCCTGACTCCTCCTCAGTCTCTGCACCACCATCCGATATACACGCCTGAAGCTACCTCACCTCCAACCTCATCTCCAACCTCACCTCTATCCTCACCTCAATCCTTATCTCCAACTTCACCTCCACCTCCACCCTCATCTCCAACCTCAACTCCAACAGCAACTCTATCCACACCTCCAACCTCACCTCAATCCTTACCTCCAACTTCATCTCCACCTCCACCCTCACCTCCAACCTCAACTCCAACATCAACTCTATCCACATCTACAACCTCACCTCCATCACCTCCATCCTCACCTCCAACCTCAACTCTATCCACACCTACAACCTCACCGCCATCCTCACCTCAATCCTTACCTCCAACTTTACCTCCAACCTCATCTCCATTACCTCCATCCTGACCTCCAGCCTCACCTCCATCACCTTCAACCTCACCTTCAAACTCACCTCCAACCTCAACTCCAACCTCACCTCCATCAACTCCAACCTCACCTCCACCACCTCCATCCTCACCTCCAACCTCAACTCCAACCTCACCCTCCAACCTCACCTCCAGCCAGTCTTTGTTGATCCGACTGAGAAGGAAGATCACATCTCCAGCTTTAAAATTCAGCTCCAGTTTGCTGTTCCCAGTGAAGTCAAACAGGGCCTGGAGAGAAGATTGAGGTAAAGAGGGAGGGAGGAAATATCCACTGAGCTCCTACCAAAGTGCCTAACTTACTGCAGTGTCCCATTTTACAGATGAGGAAGCTGAGGCTCAGGGAGGATGAGTGGCTTGTCTAAGGCCACTCCACTTGTTAGGAGAGGAGCTGAGATTTGAACCCAGGTCTCCCTGACTCCAGAATGGGTGCTCCTCCAGACCTGATGGGATGTGCACACAGAGGGCAGGGTCCAAACTCTCTGGGCCCAGCTCCTTCCCCCACCCCCAGGCCTCACTGTGGGCTCCAGGCCCACCATAACTCCAGCTGCCCTCTACCAGGGCACTGTCCATGCTGGTTTTGCAATGCCCATTTGTCTGTCTCCAGGGGGCTGTGAGCTCCTTGAGGACAGGGCCTTGTCTGAGTCATCTCTGATGACTCAGTCCCTAAGGCAGGGACAGCTCAGAGGAGCCCTAGCAAGCTCGTTGGATGAGTGGATGGGTGGCCATGTCCTGATCACATTCCCTCCCCTCAACTGGGCTGAGGGGTCTCCAGTGTCAGAGGCTGTAGCTCCTCACTTCCTGCAATACCCAGCACTCTCCCTGGCACCCAGCGACACCCAGCAGGAGGGACACAGTGGCTGACAGTGGAGCCAGGCCCTGCCCCAAGGTGGAGGCCTAGGTGCCGAGGGTACCTCTGCTCGTGGAGCTTCCATGCGGTCAGCACTGGCGCCTCGTGGGGACATGCTCTTGCTGTGGAGAGAGAAGAGTGGCTTGTCAGCCCTCCCGACTCGGGGCTCAGCTCCCTGCTTCTGCACAGAGGAGACCCTCGCCAGGGGTGGGAAGTGGGGAGAGGAAGAGGATGCTAAAACGCAGCGCAGGTGCTCCTCTGGGCCGCACCCTGTTCCCTTGCCCTCACAACCACCCTGGTGGTGGGACAGTTCTCCCCTCTTCATGGACCAGGAAGCAGAGGCACAGAGGGGGTGGAGAACAGGAGACCCCTTTGTTAAGTGCGTTCAACTCGTCAAACCCTTCACACTTGTTTCTTCCTCTGTTCCTTACAACCAACCTCGGAAGTAACTTATTATTCTAGTTTCCAGCTGAGGAAACTGAGTCTTGGAGAGGTGATGTGCCCTGTTCCGGGCCTCTGGCTGCCATGTGGCATGGCTGGAATGCAGACTGTGTCTGCCTGGGTGCACGGGGGAGAGGCGCCAGGCATGGGGAGGACACTGAGAGATGAGGCGGGAGGAAGAGAGGGGGGCCAGGGGCTGGGGAGCACTGTCCTGCTTTTCCTGGAATTCTTAGGAGCAGCAACCTCGGCTTTGGAAGCTCAGTGCTATTTCAGTGGCTTGGAGTTTGGGTAATTCTTTCCTGCTTAGGAAGGGACTGGAAGAGTGTGGTGGGCTCTTTGGAATAAGCGAGTAGCAGCGCCCCCTAGAGGCCAGTGTGATACAAGCGGAGCCACAGCCAGCCCCAGAGAACTGAGAAACCAGGGAGGAGGCATTCCCGGGAGCTGCTCAGGGAGAGCTTGGGATTGAGTGGCTCTTCCCTCCTCTACGGCACCCCCTTCTTTTCAGGCAGCCAAACCCTCTGGGGTCAGCCCTTAGTCCCCCTTCTCCAGTCCCCAGTCCTTGCTATCGCGCGCATCAAACGCAGCCCCTCTATCCCTCCGGGTCCTGAGCTTGATTTTCCAAACTCATCTAATGATCCGAACCATCCCGGGGCGTCCAGAGATAGAACCGATCGGTCTTCCTTCTCCGGAGAAGAGAGGCCCTTCCGCAGGGGTCCGGGGCCGGGGGCGGGGCGCTCACTCACACTTTGCGCGTGCGCGGGCGGAGGCGGCGCAGCGCCTGCGGCACCTGCTCCGAGTCGTAGGGCGACTGGTAAAAGAAGATCCGGACGTCCTCGTCCATCAGCACCCAGACCGGCAGGCTGAGCAGGCTCTGGTGGGTGACAGGGTAGGACAGGTCAGCAGAAAGGCCTGGCCATGCCGGCCCAGCGGCTCCTGTCTCTACGAATGAATCCCATGCCTGAGGTCTGGTAACAGAAATAAGTTATTTCAAAACCAAACAAGAAAAACTCAGCAGGCTGAAGGAAACACTTCACGAGTTCTGCTCCTGGGTCCAAGGTTAGGAGGGGAACCACTGGCTTGAGAGGAGTTTATTTGGAAAAGACCTAAAGTTACCCAGAAATGACGGTAAGGGCGATGACAGGTAACACGACCTGGTGGTGACCGTTCCAGGCACTGCGCTGAGGACCACATGTGTGTCCTCCATCCATCTCATGACAACCTGTAAGTCAGGATCAGAGAGGCGAAGGGACCTGCCTGAGGCCACACAGCCTAGCAAGTGACAGAGCTGGGCCACCCAGAGTCAGAGTCCCCCGCTGCTAAAGCCCACACCTTACCCAAGATAACACAACACGGTGGGGGGGGGGGGTTCCCAAAATAACCTAAACTAACAACCTAAATGTTGGTGGCATTATGACCTAAAAACTGCTTCCTGATACCTTATCTCATATCACAGTTGGGGAAACTGAGGTTTGGGGAAACTGAGGTTTGGGGAGGGAAAATGCCTGGCCTGGGGAGAACAGAAGTAGGAAGGGGTGGGGTGGTGTCTCGAGCCCTAGTCTCTTGGTTCCACAACCCGGGGGGGGGGGGGGTTCCCAAAATAACCTAAACTAACAACCTAAATGTTGGTGGCATTATGACCTAAAAACTGCTTCCTGATACCTTATCTCATATCACAGTTGGGGAAACTGAGGTTTGGGGAAACTGAGGTTTGGGGAGGGAAAATGCCTGGCCTGGGGAGAACAGAAGTAGGAAGGGGTGGGGTGGTGTCTCGAGCCCTAGTCTCTTGGTTCCATCCCACTCTGGTTACGCCCATCACAGTGCAAAGACTCCCAGGCCGCGGGACCGCGGAGCACCCAGAGCCTGTGGGGTCATCCGCCAGGCTCCGCACCGCCCAGGTCCAGGAGCACGGAGGGCGGCTTCGGGTGCTGCAGCTCCAGAGGCACCCAGAGCCCTGCAGAGAATCGCACAGCGGCAGCAGGATGGGGAGGGGCGGGGAGCTCCATCTCAGGGGGGCTGGGAATGCAGATCCTAGACGTGGGAGTCGTCTGGGGAGGGGCAAGAGGCAGCTAGAAGGTGTATAAGGAGCCAGACTGATCCTGGGATCAAATCCCAGCTCTGCCTCTCCCCAGCTGGGTGGATCTGAGCAAGCGTGGCTCCGGATGTTCATTAATATCTCCCTCGTGGGATTGTGGGATTGTCCTCCCACCCTCTCTCCCTTCCTTCCTCCAGAGCTCACCCTGCTCTTCCAGCCCAGCAGCAGGAGGGCGGAGCCTCATACACCCACAAGGAGCAGCGTCCTCAGCACCCCCTTGAGGGGAGATGCCTCCAGTGCTGGAGACCACGGGCCACAGAGCCCAGGATTCCTGCAGCCACCTGCCCTGTTCTCCCTCCACCCACCTGCTCTGACCTCCTTTTGCTCCCTTCCTCCACCAGGAGTCAGGCTCTCTCGCATTCTGGAAGAGGTTCGTATCTTATAAAGCTCTTTCCCATCCTTTTCTCGATAGATCCCGACTTCACTCCTGTGAGACCAGAGGGCAGGAGGCACTGCCCCATTTCATGGGTGAGAAAAACAAGGAGCAGAAAAGATGTGCAGCTCTCCCCAAATCACCCAGCCAGTCAGTGTCAGAGTCAAGACTAAAGAGGCTCCGAGTTCAGTGCTCTTGAGCTGTAAGGATGCCTCGGGGCAATGAGGAGGGTTTCCCTCGCCAGCTTCCTGGGGTCACTATCAAGCCTCAGCTTGTGTGCCTCTAGTGATGGGGCACTCACTGCCTCATGAGGAACACTGTCCCTTTCCTGGATGGCTCTGATTGGTAGAAATCCTTTCCTGACTCCCCTGGCCTCTGCCTTTAAAATGCTCCTTCTTCTGTGTTCCCTTCTCATATGGGTGCAAACAGTTTGCAGTTTGGGGAATACACAGGGTGCCCAGCTAAGACCTGTGAGTGCAGTTAAAATCCAGCCTCTTCTCAGGTGGGGGGGTGTGCTGGCCTGGGGAGAGGCCTTCTCTAGCTTGCACAAAGGTGCTGTATGACCGAGCTGTGGCCTGGTCGGTCATGCCCCTGTCATGTAGGCATACATATGCCTCTGTGTGATTTCGTGATTGACCCCACTGGACAGTAGGTACCTCGGGGGCAGGCACTGGGTCTAACTGACCACAGTTTCCTAACACTTAGCATAGACATTCACCTGTGGGCTTGGAGCATTAAATAAAGATTTGTTGATTCAAAGCATGGTTCCTTAAATTTTCTCCATTGCTCCTTCCTCAATCTCTGGATCCCTGAGAACTCACCCTATTTCTCTCCCCAGACCAGGCACTGAAGATGGGGATCATCGGAGCCAGAGAGCCAGCCTCAGTTCCCAAAGCAGTGCCCCAGGGGTGAGGCCCAGGCTTCTCCCCAGCCCCCAGCACTGTGTGCCTTCCCATCCGAGGTGGCATGGCCCGCTGATACCTTCATGTAGGCGTTGAGGGCAGGTATCCGCGTCTCGGCGATCTCCTGCTTCACGCCCACGTAGACTTTGGCTGAGGAGAGACAAAGAGCCTCTCAGGAGGCTGGCTCGACGCAGTGCCTGGGCTGGGGCTGTCCCTGCAGGCCAGGAGTTCTGGCTGGAGCCCGTCCTCACTGGCTCAGCACCCTTCCCCTTCAGGCATCAGGATTCTTTAGGTCTGTCAAGGCACTTGCAATATGCCACCAAGG